TCCCTATTGTGGCTCTTGGTGTAATTTCAGTGGTATTCTTCAGTATAGACGTGGCTAGTCGTCAAGCACCGAAGTCACTGACTCAGTGTATAAATGAGCAGTCCTCGAACTATCCGCCTAAAAATGCTACAGGTTTGATGGTTTTACTTTTCAAGGTTATTTGCACAAAGTGCTATTCCATTACCGATCCGATCGCAATTTCATGTTCATTTTTCCTCTGTCTACGAGTCCCTCTAGTTTGCTTTACTACTTTTCCATAGATGCAGCTCCGATTCACAGGGTATTTCAAAAATTCATTCGAGAGTCTCAGTCAAAGACTACTCTGTGTTTCTTCATCGGAAAGAGAATGAAATGATTGATCTAGCTCATTTGTGGCGAATAAAATCGAAGGCTTAAATGCCCGGTACTTAGCGACTACTGACCCTTGTCTAAGTCGCTTTTCGACCATACAACATCTCTTTCAGTCTTCTGAAGAGCCGTCCTAATGAAAACTTCCGGGACCCTTGGTATCATGAACAGTGTTTTTTTAAAGAATCCAACACGTCTTTGTAAAGTATGCAAAAGAACTCAAGGAAAGGCAAAAAAATCGGCTATCATTTTCTTTTGGGTCTATTGTAAACACCTTTTTCTCTGATTCCGTGAGTGTATCAACTAATACCCTGATAAAAACTCTCCTTACCTCGATTGAAACGGAGGACACCTCGATTGACTCATGTCCACCGTTGATGGACATGAGTCAATCGAGGTGTCCTCCGTCTCATCTATGTGACGTAGTGAATGTGGCGTATTGGTGGACAAACTACCGCTATCCAGTAAGGGACCAACCGGCAGTAGCTCTATAGAAGTTTAAATTGTAATTGTTATCATATGTCACGTAGGCACAAAACAGTATTCAACAAAAGTCCGAGATCAGAACAAATAAGAGCAAAAACAAAAAAACAACTGCTAGGTAAATTTGTATGAACAGACTGGAAGAGAGAAAATCACATCTGTACACTGACCATTGCATAGTCCATATACGTACGTGATCATCCTTGAAATTCTCAGCGAAGGACTGGCACATCTCGAAATTTGGGGACAATCATCAAATTTCCTGGCCTCTCGTACAACTCCCCTTTTAAGACGCACTCAGGATCATCGAAGTTCATACAAGTATACAAATATACGTATGCACACGGAAAATAACAACAAATGAGAATTAATCATAAATCGACCCTCAAGCTGTAAAGAAGTAAATGATCTCCATTCAATTCTAAAACTGTCGGTAAGCATCCCGCGCTTGCCGCACCTGCCGCGTCGTAGAGGGCAGAGTAAGGATGGACTGAGTGGGCAAAGTAAGGATGGGCCTGAGACTTGAACTTTTATTGAATGGTTACGGTAATGGCCATGAAATCACTGCTAAGCTCGTAGATGGGACTAAGGGAGTTCGAGCACAAAGTCCGTCATCCGTCCCAGGCGCTTGGGTTCATCACTGCATTTTGACTGATTTATTTGCTTCTGCGGCTTCCAATTCTTCAGAATTCTTTGCTCCGCCTTCAAAAATAATGAAATGGAGATTAGAGTACTTGAAATTGGTTTTATAAAGGATGAATTCTTCAGGATTTGAGGACAGCTACGCTGACCATATCAAATCATGTGTGCCATTTTATGAACTGATGGAAAAACACATCAAAGACGGTACTGGAAGTCGCCATCAACCATTTCTTTCTATGTCGTTGGTAGGAGCATATTTATTTCCGAATTACTCCGCTGTAACTACGGAAGCAGATGGACGTTTTGGGTTAGTTGATCAACACAATTCATATGTGCAATCGTATGACTTACTTCAGATTCTGGAGCTTCATTGGATAAATGCAACCTCTTTAAATGAAAGTTCTTGAAGAGTTTTACAAAACAAGCAATCGTTCTTACTGAAACACATATCCTACCGTAATCGATGAAATGGTTACGATATCATACGGTTTTTAGGCAGAAAGTCTACTGCCGGTATCTCGACGTTAATCAGAAAGAAATCAAACCAGCCGTGGAATCAGTAGTGTTCCCAGAGTTCACGATTTATTGTTGTCGACGTAGCCGAGCTCATTATATGAGCATCACCACTACCAAAGATGAAAAGATCAATCAAACAGTTCCTGTCACTGATCGTACCGTGGACGGTGAGCGACTCCACTCGTGCTTTATTAGAGAATATGTATGCTTAGTATGTTTACAAAAAACGAATATCAGTTTGTCATCCTAACCCATCTACCAGCTACGATGAAGGAAGTTAGAATGGGCGGGGTTTGTGAGATTGGGAGTAGGCGGGGTTTGTGAGATTGAGCCGGTACATGTGGCCTTTTTAAAAGTCTGGGTAATCGATCGTCGCGGGCTTGCCATGATTGTTGCGATATCCCACGAAGACAAATTTTTGACGTAGATGAGGGTAGCCCCAGCCTACTTCCTTTTGATAAATACGTATTGAATGAGGATTCACAGTAATTTGTATCTTACATTTTTCTATTGATCGTCATTGATTATTACTCATTTCAGATCCTAAATATACTTTGTCTCTGTGTGTGAAACCAATGTATGGAAAAGAGCCGAAATTCGTGCTATTCGCCGAGTACATTGAACATTATAAACTGCAAGGAGTTCAACATTTCTATATCTACGTAAAAGATGTAGACAAATATACAGAAAAGGTCAGTAATGTTCAATTCTTCTCCATCAAATGTAACGATTTTGCCCCTACCCACTAAATCATCTGAGCATGTACCTAGAATCATAAATCGTGTACTCGTCTCGAGTAAAATCGCCTTCTCAGGGCGGAGTTCGCATTAAAATCTTTACAGTATCTTGTATAATTGTAATGAGTAAAATCTTGTCGCCTCGAGGGGCCGTATAGGGTCAGTTTCGAATTTATGGAGTCAGAAGGCGTCTCCGAGACAGTGTAGGGGCTCAAAAAATACAGCTACTAATGCCCAATGCCTATCAAAACTCCCAGGGAAAGACGAGTTCAGCGGCTTCGTAAGGCTCATACCATCCAAAATGGAGCGTTTTGTTGTAAATGCAGTCAGCTTGATGCCCACAGCTGAAGCACGTTGTTCTGCAGACGAGTGCGATTTCGTCCATAAATCTCTTGCGTCATGACCTCGTGAATCTCAAAAATAATTAGTACCGCATCGCCTCTATACCTCATGATTTTCGTAGAACGAAAGATGGGGAGCTATTTTTTATCAAAATTTTTACTCTATATCAACGAGTCTGCATGGAATCATCGCAAACTGTTCCGTTAAAAAAGGATAGCGCTCTCGTGTTCAGCATATGTTGTTGAAGAGCCCTTACAGATAGTGGATGCACCTTAGATTTCCAGATAGCTCTTTCGAATAGCTTTTTTCAAAGTTGATTTCTGCTGGAGATGAAATTAGATGTGTTTCACCTCATGTCTCCAGTAAGATGTTAACTTCTTATACATTTGCAATTTTAATAACGAATTTTTCAGCTTATAAAACACTATGTGAAAAGTGGTGAAGCTGAAGTAATATATTTCCGAGATAAGCAGGACAGGCCTGAAATTGAATGGCACCTTGTAGGCACACAGGTGGGTATTGCCTCCTGTTTTGTAGAGAATAGGAAGAAAAGATATCATTGTGTACCAAACCCCGAGTCGGACCGAATTTGAGGGTGTGGCAGGGGCTATACCAATCACAGGAAAACAGCTGTAAAAAATTCAAACAACTAGTCGCGAGCCATTGCGACAGTGTGAGGCGGTTTGGGCACTTTTGGTTCGCTGGAGCCAGCCTAACTCGCAACAGCACGACAGGAATCTCGTCCTACTCCGATCTATTTATAAAACTAACCCATGATTAAATGATCTGTATTCTTCCTTATTTTTAGGACTGTATCCATCGAAGTCGACATCACTCCAAGTACACCATTTACGCCGACATGGATGAACGTATTCTACCTACTGATACGAGTACAACCCTTTCCACTTATACAGCGTAGGTGGAATTTTGCTGACTGCTCACTCCCTGACTACTTATATTTATTTACCTTCAACACCACCCAAATATGCAGTTGTCAGAGAGGAAGATAATTATTTCAGAAAAGTCATGCCGGAAAAATCGAAGATCGGCATGATTCGGTTTATAACGCAGTACGTTCTAAAAAATGGCACGGATCCTACCGTATACGAGGTTCGTCCTTTTTATTGCTTTTTCGGTGGCTCGCAACATTAATAGGAGATGTGGTCGTGGCCCTTTGTTCGGCGATTTCCACTTTTTTGCTCACACAAATGTGTAAATGGAGTAGAGGATATTTGAAGAAACATATTTATTCACCTTTTCGATGTGGTGGTTTTATTTGAGATAGGAGATACCTACGATAGCAACATCCACTAGATGAAATACTTCTTATTTCGATGGCTCTATGGTGGACTACACGAAGGATAAAATAAATATTAGGACATTTAACAACCCTGGGTGATAGTGCAACCCTGTTTGATTTGTGTTTGAGATTATTAGTTGGTGACTGATGAGAAATCGTAACGCATTATTTTCTTCCTTGAGATGACGGTTACGTTCAGCTCCTTCTTTGTTGTCATGACGCAATTTTGTCTGATTTTGTTGGACATTCAGTTGTTGAGGAGCGGATGAGGGGCTAACATGCAGCCTCTGGGAGGTGATACCGATGTTTCATTATTTGGGTGGGAACTTACGAAATGCAAGTATCTGGAACCTTGTTCGGGATATTGTTAAATATTGAAGTGTTTGTTTTCCTAAAAAAACTTTCTCCAAAACCTATTGCTTGGGTGAATTTTCTATGGGGTTTATCGGGAAGACGACTCTCCCTAAACTGTATAGGAAAATGAGAATGTTTACAAGTTTAAATAAAGTTCAAAATCACTTTAGTCATTTTATCAGGAAAAGTTTCAGGGAGAAAAGACGGTCAAGGAACATTTGCCAACGCTCGTCTACCACAAAACTGCGTCACCTGCACCTGTTGGTTACACAGCAAAATGTATTATAGATCCTAAAAAGGTGTGTTTTCTCTACAGGAACTCCTCAGATTTCTGTGCCTTCCTTTCTCTACAAAAAAGGTAACTTTGCAGGTTTTTCTAATGTGGGTACACCATGTGGCAATTTATTTCCCCGGATACGAGGGCTATGAAGTACCTAAAAGTGAAGGAATAATCAGGTTGGAGCATTATTTCAACTCAACGTCCCAGTGGAAATCCTTTCTCATCAATAGAATTTCACAGGCATTACCGTGATATCATGATGGGTGACTGGTACAAACATTATCTTCCTGGAGTGGAGAAGTTTGGACCGTTTACCGAAACAGACTATCCTCCGACGCTTATGAAACAACTTTATGAGAATGTAAAGACAAAACTCGACTTTGTATATAAACACGACTAATAAATACTGAGTACTGTGGACAGTTGGAAGTATTGTATAATATTTGTTGCTTGTACATGTTCAATTGATGGACGGAGGTGGCATAGTGGCAAATAGTGCACTATGCCACGTCCATGATCCGGTGATCGAATATCGGGAGTGGTAAGAGTCCAGGAACCGACTCAACCAACTTCCCATACCTTCAAGCTCTGTCGGTTGGTACCAGACTCGTCTGGAAGGGTAAAAGCACTGACTCGCGCATGGGCTGGTCACAGCAAGAAGCTTCCTAGAAGAAGAAGCAAGAAGCTAGGCTATGCACGCAACCAAAGCGCCAGTACAAACCTGAATGGATGGGTGCATGCCAAAAGCTATCTCAATCGACGCCAAAATTTAAAATCTTCATGTTCAGTTGCTCAATAGAAAGATCACTTTGTGAACGACAGTCTTGGCAAAATGGACTTGGCAGGCATATGTAGGGTTAGTGGTCGCAAGATGACGACGGCTCGCTTAGCCTGATTCATATGTGGCGAATCCTAGCATCATCAAGTTCGGTGTGTCCTTGTAGAGTTATATTAAAAGCTATTATTATCATTGTCAAGACC